ATGTCTATATCTGTTTTCATGGGAAACCACTTTGAAGATATCAATATGTAATACAACAAGCATTGTTAATTCCCTATCACTTTGTTTGTAACTCTGTACTGTCTGTACATTTCTTTTGCTATTTTGTAAAGTATTGTCTGTCTGTTAATGTTTTCCTCCCTTTATATTTAAAATAAAAAAATAAAATAAAAAACAAAGGAAAATGGTCATAAATTAGACTATTACTCACCAAGAAACATCACTAGCCAATAACCTATATAAAGATGGACAATGAAATCTCTATTAATACAGGAAGTTCAAATGGGAATAGAAGACTGTAATTTATTCTCTGCATACATATGTATAGGCACATAGATGACTAACATATATACATAAACTTACAAGTTTTGTATACACATATGTGTATCATATATATAACTCAAATATTTGTGTACAAGAAAGTTTACAGCAAAAATGACATTTGGAATCAACATTTTTGCAAATGATTGGAAATAAATGTTCACCAACAGATTATTTAAATATCTCCGTATTTAACATTTACTTTTCCACGTGAGAAATATGCATCCACTAAAGAATTAGACCTCTGATTATTGACGTGGGGACATTGACATGGGGACAGGTGTGTTATTAAGTTAATTAAGAAGAGAACCAGGGATAAAGAATCTGATGGGGGTGAGGGAGGGAGGGAAAAGGAAAGAGAGGGGAGAGGGAAGATATCCCATCACTTGACCCTAATGAGAAATGATGTCACTTTCAGGCCAAAGCCTCAGGTGTGAGACCTGCCATACATCTCTTTTGTGAGTGGCTGAAAATCTCAAAATCTGCATCTTTTCCACATGTGCTCCTGAGAATCTACCCTAGGTTAATAGAACTATACCCACTTACCAACCTGCACTGGAAGTGTGGCTGAGTTATTGATCAAAGCCACTTAGATTTCAGAGTCATTGCTTATGTTAGTAAACCTTCTTAAAATGCAAGACATTATGTGTAGTACAAATATCTTACAACAAAGAAAAATGGCTCATTTTTCAAAAATTCAAAAGAACAGACAGCTTTTAAAAAATCACACAATCCAGAGTTAAATGTAATTTTGTTCATTAACAAGAGCAGAGGGCAAATTTAATTTACATGCCTTCTGCATCAGAGGGGGAATAAAATCTAGGTATCAAAAAATGTGAGTGAAAATACTTGCAACAGAAACTATTATGAGTTTAGTCATAAACTTCCATACCGTAGTATGATTGCCGTTGAACATTTTCATCCCTTAATGCTTCAGCACTTGTAGCCTTATCTAGGAAATGTGGGGGATGATGACTTGCTCCCCTTTTTTCCTTTACTGGCATGTTTTCAGAAGAAATAAAATACATACAACCAAAACCTAAAGCAAACAAACAAAGAAAAAAAACATACAAAACAAAAACTCCTAACTCATTACCTTGTAGTCCTTTACCCAAAGTATATTTTCAGGGCTTCAGTATCTAATGGTCTCACACTTACCATTTCAAAGGCTGTCCTGAGTTTTGATCAATGTATTTTGTGTTGAAAGAAAACACTTCCTTTTGCATAGTTTAAAAGTATACTTATATATAAGTAATCACAAACACGTATTTATTCATACTTTTATTTATAGTCTTCTTAGTCAAAGTATACACTTAAGAAATAAGGCAAAAAAAGTTGAATCATACCTCTTTTCTCACAAACCCAAACTCTGTCCCCTCAGTGTGTTATATTTTTGTGTGCTTAGAAAAGTTGACCAGATGTTTTCATTTAGGAAATGTAGAATATAAAACACATTGTAAAGTGAAAAAGTCGTATTTGAGAACTATCATTTTGGAAGGAGGGAAGGCTGTTATTAAGCATGTTAGCAGAATAACCTAAATCTTTTTTCTTGTTTGGAAGTTGTGGAAAACCGCAGGGTTGGGGGTACAGCTGTGTGGATGCTGAGAGGGCAGCGTCCTCTACAGAGCCGCAGGTTGCTGGCATAAGTGTGCCCGCTGGGTAGGCAGGTGTGCAGCAGTGAGAGTCGCAGGAAGCATGGGTCTTTGGATGTCTGCCAATGAAAGGCACCTGTTTTGAATTCTTCCCCAAACCAGAACATCACAGGACATGTGCTGGAGCCACTTATGTGCTGAATTTTGTCCCTCTTTAGAGACTGAAAGTTTTAAATGTACACTGCTTTCAGGAGATAACTATGATCACCAGTTTGAGTGTCTGGACTGAGGACAGTGACTTCTATTTTGTATGGATTTCTCCCAGGAATGATGAAATCATTCTGGAAGTGGATAATGGTGATGACTGTGCAACTTTGTGAATATACCAAAAAGCACTGAACCTTGGCCAGCCGGTCAACCTCTGGACCACCAAAGGGTTCTTCTGAAAGCTGCCTGGACCTCCCTGTTCCGCAGGCAGTAGATGACGGGGTTGCACATGGGTGTCACCACTGTGTAGATGACTGACAGTATCTTGTTGAGATCCATGGCTTCTATGCGGCTGGGGCGGGCGTAGATGAAGATAGTGGCTGAGTAGAAGATGCCCACCACCACCAGGTGGGAGGCGCAGGTGGAGAAGGCTTTGTGGCGGGCAGCGGCTGAAGGCATGCGGAGCACTGCTCTACCAATGGCCACGTAAGAGGCCATGGCCACAAGAAGAGAGCCCCAGAGGATCACGATGGCAGAGATAAAGTCCACCAGCTCAGTGAGGGCCACGTGGGTGCAGGACAAGTTGAGCAGAGGGGAGACGTCACAGAAGAAGTGGTTCAGGACATTGGGGCCACAATAGGACAGGCTAGCAATGCATGCTGTTTTGATCACTGAGACCACCAGCCCACCCAGCCAGGAGGACAGGGCCAGGCCCAGGCAGACCTGGGGCCGCATGAGAAGTGGGTAGTGCAGTGGGCGGCAGATGGCCACGTAGCGGTCATAGGCCATGGAGGCCAGGAGGGTGCATTCCGTGCAGATGAGGGAGATGAAGAAGAAGAGCTGAGTCATGCAAACTGTGAAAGGAACATGACAGTGTCCAGTCCACAGCCCCATGAGCAGCGTGGGCATAGTCACAGAAACGTAGCACATCTCCAGGCCGCTGAGGTTGCCCAGGAAGAAGTACATGGGCTTGCGGAGCTCAGTGTGCCTGCAGATGAGGTAGATGATGAGCGTGTTCTCCAGGAGGGTGAGCAGGTAGAGGGCCAGGAAGACAGCAAAGAGGGCGTCCCTGGTGCTCAGCCTGGTGGACAGGCCCAGGAGGACGAAGTGCTGGACCCTGGTCACGTTTGCTGGCTCTAGGGAGCTCTCCATCTAAGAACCAAAGATATCTGCAAAATATTTTTCAAATGTCTCTAGGAATCTTTTCCCACCCTGGGTCAAAACCATTTTCTCACTTGGATCAATGAAATAACTTCGTATCGTGTCTGTCCCCTTCTGAACTTCCCTTATACAATCCCACAGGTAGCAGTTAGTGGGATCTTTAAGTTCACAGGTCATATGGGCTCATGTCTCTCACAAATCCCATTGCTCCTAGAGTAGATAATAAGTGCCTCACCTGGACTTCCAGCCCCCGGTGACCTGGTCCCTGTCCCGCCTGTGGTTTCACTCATCACACTTCTGCTTCCCACCCTCTGCAGCTCCGCAGACTGTTCCATACCCTTAAATACTCCAAGATCCTCCCAGCCTCAGAATTCCCATGTGAGTTCCCTGCTCTGTGGAACACTGTCTCCTCATTCTGGCTTTTCCCATTTCTAGGAACTCTTGATGTCCTTTTAAGCAATTTCAATGTCTTGTCCTCAAATACATCTGTCTTATTTTCTATTTCTGTACCTCTCTTACTGTATCTCCTTTCAGGGGGTTCTCATCAATTTAAATTACTTGCAGCCGGGTGTGGTGGTGCACACCTGTAATCCCAGCACTTGGGAGGCTGAGACAGGAGGATCTTTTTTTTTTTTTTTTTTTCTCCAGTACCGGGAACCGAACTCACGACCTTGTGCTTGTCAGGCAGGCGCTTTGCCGCTGAGCTAAATCCCCAGCCCCAAGGAGGATCTTTGTGAGTTCAAGACCAGCCTGGGCTACAAAGTGAGCTCAAGGCCAGCGTGAACTGCATAGTGAGACCCTGTCACACACAAAAAAAATTGTGTAAATTACTTGCATGCTCATGCAGTTGTTCATTGTCTCTCCAATTGGGTTGTAGGTGCTCTGAGGGTAAAAAGTCTGAGTCTTTAAGGATTCTATGACCCAGACTTCACAGAGAAGCAGCCTCATGATACAGTAAAAGCATTCAGCATAAGTGTACTATGCCTGGTGGGGACATTGCTACTCTCAGGAGGCACCGACAAAATGTTTTAGAGTGTTGGCTTGACACACTGGGGCTCCTCCAGAGTGACCTTGCTCTTCAACTTACGCTCGTTGAATTTGAGGGACACAATGTGAAAAAGCACTGGATCTTGGTTCAGAAATTCTGCTTCATCTGCCTGTTACAATCTCTAGCATGTTGCTGGATTTGTCCAAGCCTCAATTTTATCCTCTACAAAATAGGAAGGAGGGCTGGGGAGATAGCCCAGCGGCCCAGCACCTGCCTGGCAAGCTCAAGGTCCTGAGTTCAATTCCTGGCACTACAAAAACAACAAAAAAATGGGAAGGATGATATTTGCTGTGACGATGACATAAGAAAATGGAAGTGGAAGTTCTGTACAACTCTTATTGCTTTTGATGTACTTGGATCAGTTCTTTTCTAGGTGGCCTTCAAAAAGCTACAAGGAACTTCAGTAGCTCTTCTTGGCATCTTGGTGCAGAAAAAAATTTTTTATCCGTTTTATTTAAGTGTGATTCACTTACTGATTTTTTGACATTTAATGTGAAATTTACTACCATTAGAGAAGAGAGGCCAGCCAGGTGTGGTGACACATGCCTGTAACCCCAGCACTCACGAGGCTGAGGCAGGAGGATTGTGGCTAGTTCAAGACCAGCCTGGACTACAAAGTGAGTTCAAGACCAGCCTGAACTGCATGGCGAGACCCTGTCTCAAAAAGACAAAAAAAAAGTAGAGAAGAGAATTAGCAATGCCATTAGAGAAGAGAATTAGCTACGTACTTTTCTAGAAAATTGTTCTTTTTGGTAGCTTTATTGAGTGATTGTACCAGTTTTCCTTCCAGGCTCGTCTTGATGGATGTTTGATTTTTCCCCACCATCTGATCCTACCCATGAGGCCATGTAGATCGTCTTGTGCATGTCTCTGTGCACACTGGAAATCACAACCACAAGATCCCATCCTAGAAGCACCGTGATCACACCAACGTGCACGCTCATTTGAACTTTTGAAAGAGTGAGACTTACACTCTCAGGAGTTGTCTGTCAGCTATTAGTAATGTATAGCAAGGCCAGCTTCCCTATATCTCTCCCCATAGTGTGCATTGTCAACTTTCTGATCTTTGCAAACTTGGTAGGTAATAAAGATGTATATTGGAGGTTTTCAATGTGTATTTGCTTTACTATGATATACGGTGTCTTCATATGTTTAAAATTGATTTGTATTTCCTTTTACCCAAACTGTTTGTTCTTGCGCCTTGCCCCCTTTATTTCCTAGGTTGACTCTTTTTATTAATCTTTACTGTAAATGTTTTAAATGTAAGGAATTGGGATTCCAGAGGATGAGCTATTTGCTGAAGACCTGCAGTGTGGAAGTGCTGAAGCAGTAATATGGCCCAGAGGCTGCCGGAGCACAGGACAGGGGCCTGTGTTTCCAGAGAATGGGGTGGGGCCCACCAACATTGCCAGACTAACTGAGAGATCACAACTGGGGGGAAGAATGTGTGGGGCTGAAAATTAATTGGGGCAACTGCAAGGTTTGTTCATGGGATGTTTAGACTGTTGATGTTGGAAGTGTCTTGGTAACTATCTAGTCTAATTCACTGAGAGCATAAGAAAATGAGACACAAGACACAGTCTTTTCTCATCAAGATCCTCCACAGCCTTTATCCTCCACTGCTTTGTGAGTTTCTCTGTCCTGCATCTTTAAAGTCATCTCTGGATTCTGACCCCCATGAAAATTCTCCCTCCAGATATCCCACGTGCAACACTAATAAGCCGGATCACTCAGCACTTCTGACACACTATTTCTTCACATGTACAATGGGGAGGACCACAGTTTATCTGATAGGGCTTTTGTGAGACTCATAAGCAAACACGGAGCTTCCAGGGGAGGAGGTTGCTTGCCCAGCTCACAGAGTATTTGTTGCTACTGTGAACACCAGCTTGCATTTTTTAACCTTGGAGCTGTTGGTTCTTAAGTTATTAAAGGACTCAGTTACCATCGTCACCAAAAAGTAGGAGATGGGCTTCTAATGTGGGATGACTTTAGGTGGCAGAGAGCCAAGATATTGAATGATATTGGTTCACCATGTTGGAGACCACTACGAAGTGGCTCCGAGCAGAATTTAATATTAACCAGTTGGCTTTCCGTGTTTACTTGTGAGTTGTCCAAATGCCACAGCTGAGGATGTCTGGCTCCAACCCCAGTTACCTTAAAGGAGACTATAGCTGCAGGCATCTCACTCCTGCTCTGAAGGTCTTCCTGGAGATAACATAGTTCTCCTAAATTAACTTACTATATTACTTGGAGAAGTCCTTAAAGGGATTCCCAAGTCCTGCTCAGATTCCTGCATTTTCTTCAGTATTCCCCTCCCTTGTTTGTAAGCCAAATAAATATGGGCCACCCAGAGAAGTCTTTGGCTAAACTCGGAGAATATTGAAGCTGTAAGGGAGTTAGTCCCTCCTGGTGCCCTAAAATCATTATATTGTCTCATTTGTTTAAGCCTTCGACATCCACTCACTTGGGAGATTGCGGGCCCGATCAACTTGCAATAACTTAAGGTTATTTAACCCGGTTTTCAATACACCAAATGTGATTGTTATCCTTTTGCTGATTCTCTTTTACATCAAGGAAAAAGTTTCAGCTTGGTACTGATGTGCTTAGTTTTTCACTGACACTTTCTAAACTTTTCTTCTAACAAATAGGGAGGAACCCCCACTCTTTTCAGCAGTTTGGGCTTTGGAGCTACAACTAGGACACTTTGCCATCATTTTATTCTGTCAGATTTTGTTTCTTTGGTCACCTTCTATTCGTGGCAAGTAGTACTCTCTTCTTCTCTAGAAAGGAATATAATTTCTCTTTAACATAATTTTAGTAAGGAAAACAAGTTGTTTAAAGAAAAATGTTAAGTAAGCAACAGCCCACACTGCTTAGAGGTATCATAGAAATTTGGAAAATGACCATGAGTGTCTGGAGCTTAGAAAAAACACTGCACATCAGTGTATCATAATCTTGCAGATAGAATGAATGGTAAATAGATACCCTTGGTTGCTGATATCTGCACAGAGCTTCATATTGTGCCCACACTCAACCAAGGGTGCTTGTGCAGCAGTGGGGGAGCTCTCCCAAGTCCTGAAACAAGCAATTTGCTTTGTCTCTAAGACGGTCTGTGCCCAGAGAGATGCCCTTGACTATGTCTTCCACAAAGTTTACAAACAGCCCAGAGCTATACTTGTGCCAAATAAAGACTATGGCAGTACTCATTCTGCCCACGCTATCATATCCCTTCAACAGGTTTTTTTTAAAGGTAAAATGGACACATTATTGGAATCTGGAGGTTCCTCTCCCACCTAAGAGTCCTTGGAGAAAATCGCTTAACCTCACTGAGTCCCAATTGATTAAAAAATAACCTCAGATTCTGCATGCTGAAATAAACACTGGGCCCAATAATAATTTCCATTTCTGGCAATTACTAAATGCCAACTATTGTGTGGTGTTACTTACTCATATGTACACCCATCACAGCATTGACGCATAAGTGTCCATGTCCACATTTTAAAGATGTAGAAACAAAAGACTAAGAAGTCCAGCCTCTCCCCAAATCCCTCATCAATAAGTAGTAAAGCACAGATTCAGCTTCCCGGGCTTGGTTGGGTTTCTTCCTTATGTCTTGGAACATTTTAATGAAAGTTAGTTATTTTAGGAAAATGTGCTGGCCAAAGAGAAAAAGAAAAATATTCTTCTGCTCTAGGAAGGAAATGATCAGGCCAGAAGGCTACTGAAAAGCACTCAGCTTGACATCCTCACTCGCAAGGGGAAAGCAAAATATCTACACAGAGGCCAGCATTGTTGCTGATATTACAGTGGCATACCAAGGATGGATCTGAGTTTCCCAAAATGCAGATGTGAAGCAGCTGGAGCTCTATCCCTGGCTAGGATTCTACAGGTAGTACCCTATCTCACTGTCCTGGTGACCTTTCACTGTTAGCTTTCTTAG